CTAAGGTGTTATGAATTGCAGCTAGGAAATTATTTGCTTGTGCACTCTCTGCAGCTCCCGTTCCGTCTGCAGAGGCGACAGTAGCTCCTGTACTAAACCTAGATTTTGCTTGTCCCACAGTTGGACTCACTCTTTCTGTGCCTGTGGTTAACGCTACCCCGGCACTCGCAGAGGGGTGCCGGCGCCTGCGACGGTCACATGATTTCTCTTTTCCTTTCCTATACGTTGGAATAGGCGGGGTACTGGCCGCTCTGACTCTCGACTCTGCTCCGCTTGTTATGGGAGCAGGCATCTTTATTGTTATAACAACTATGAATTCGTCGGGTGGCATTAAAATTCCTAAAGCACTTGCACTCACTGCAGCTGCCTGCGTGGGGTTAGATGTTACAGGGGAAGGAGCTACCCCCCCCCCCCCCCTTTCTCGCAGCTCTCGGTGTCTTTGTTCTTTGCCGACCTCTGGTCGCACCTGTCACACCTGAGGCGGTTCCCGAAACAGCAGAGGCAGAGCTGGGTCCCGCCACTTCTGCAAAGTCAGTGGCCCCAGTTCTCTCTCGCGCTGCTACGCTCAACGGTCTCATAGCCTTCCCGGCACTCGCATTTGCCATCTCTGCCTGGACCATACCAATAGGAGCCAAAACCTCCTCATCGGTCGGAGCAATGACTGGGACTAGTTTTTCCTGTCCCCGCTTTACTATGCTCACTACAGTCTTAAGCTTCAGGATCGCTCCCTGCTCCAATCTCACCTTCTCTGTCACATGCATTTTCGCTGTATCACACACAGGCAACACTTTTTTCTTCACCGCGCCAGTCAGTTCCGTTGCCGTGGTAACGACCATTCCAGAAACCTCCCCTGCTCTCTGAGCCGGGAGTTCCGTTGCTGCAGTAACTGTTGTTCTTATAATCGTGTCACTGCCCACCGTACTAGCTTTCTGCTTTTTGTTCTGATATACTGCCCAAGCTATCTCAAATAATTTCTTCTTTATATCGTTTGTGGACTGTCCCACAAACAAATATACCAGATTTTTCTTTCCCATATCTGATTCGATGTCTATGTCAGTATATTTCTTGATGACATCCTTTAATCTGTTTAGAAACTCTGTGGGTGATTCATTTGCTCTTTGCTTGGTTTCGTACATTTTTACCCAACTCATATCTCTTGCACTTGGGGCATGCAACTCCGCTCTAACAGTTCTTATATCGCTATCACCACTGATAAAATCAACTGCCTGAGCACCCATCTGTGGTGCTGGGCTACTTGCTCTCACAAACACCTCTACATTTGGGGCCGTCGCCCCCCCTGGGGCCGACGCCTTCGCTTCACTGTCACTGTCTAGATCAGTGACTCCTACACCTGCCGCCGTCTCTGCACTGGCTTTCGCTGTGACTTCTAAAATCTCTTTTGTTTCTACAACAGATGCCGCATCTATAATAACTTTCTCTGATGTTACTATACCAAAAGCAACCTTACTAAAAGCTGACTTTTCAGCCTTCACCGTTCTTACTCCGTTACCGATGCAACTATCAACTTTAGCTGTTACTTGTTCTTCTCCTTTCGAGCTCACTTCTGCTGTTGCTAAGACAACTTTATCTGCTCCGGCAAAGCTACTAGCTGCTGCAGAGCTACAAACTGCTTCCCCGCTCACTGGAACAGGCAGGGCAGACCCCGCAGCCATTGCCCCTGTGGGACCAGGAGTTTCTCCTGTTATTCCTGGGCTAGCCAACCTTGCAGCATCTGCATAACTCTCGCTCTGCTCTGCCGCTCTGCAAGCAGCTCCAACAAAGGTCGATGTCATCTGCACCTCTGTGCACATTCCAACTAAACCGACAGGACTCGCTCCAGTTGGACCCAAACTAACTTCTCCAGAAACTTTATTTGCCTAATCCCTCCCAGTGCAGCCAGATCCACACCAGGGGGTCCACCAATGGCTCCTGCCTGCTCAGCAGGAGCCGGTCCAGGAACCGCTCCTCCTGCAGCTCCAGCCTCTTCCGGGCTGCTTTCTCTCTCATTAGGTGACACTAACACATTTAAATCACCATTCCCCGTGTTTTTAAATAAAACTCGTGGGACGGGGGTTTTACCTCGATCTTTTCCTCCTTTTTCTGACTCCACTTCCGATTTTTCCGCCCTCTCTGAACTTTCGTTTCTCTTCTCTCCCCTCAATCCAGGGCGTGTTAACAAAAACATAAACAATTCCGGGTATCTGATTTCATCCCATTTTTGCTCCGCATTGAGGAGCGAAATTAACTTCAGTACCACGTCTAGCTCAGAGGAACCGAATTCTGGCCAAGCCACCCCTCTCATTTGTCCAAACAACGGCCAGGCATCCATACACAGCCTACACAGTTCTTCCTTCTTTAAAGGTGTTTCAGAACCAGCCAAAGTTTTCCAATGTTTCAAAACCATTCTCAAGGGGGATTCTTTAGGGATCTCAACTTTTGAATCCACCCAACCCATGCTCGTAAAACAAAAACAAACCACAGTCACACACTGGGTTTCAAACTTACTACCTTTAGGTTACAAAGCTGTTACGTAACCCCTCAGCTATTTACTGAGTCACACTGACTCCAGAGCCCCACCGGCTCTTCCACAGCGTCAGAGCACCGGAGGGCATCCCTTCCAAACCAAACAGCCCTAGACTGACCCGCTCTGACCTGGGTAACTGGTGAACTACCCGTTCACCTCCTGAAAAGCGACTTTCGCGACTATCTGGGCCCAAGTCTTTTAAGCAAACTTTTCAGGAACCTGTGTTCCCTATCCTGGAACACAAAACACAAAACTTTCCCGCAGCTGCTAACCAACCAAATAGGTACCGTTTCCTTATTCGCTCTTTTCTTATCTCACCTCTATGCTCCGTGCTTGCTTCCGTGGGTTCTGTGGAGCTGGGCTTCTCAGACCGGGGTTGGAATTATCTCAGATAAAAACCGGTTTGCTGAGGAATATTCCTGCACGATGAAAGTTTCCAGTCTGAAGAAGTCCCGGTCTGGGTCTCCCCATACGGGCCACCAACTGTTGCCGTGGGATTTAGGTGTTGAAAAAAAACCATTAGGGGCTTAAGGCATCAAGACCATGAGTTCCTTTCATATATGTAGGTTCTTTTGAAAGAGATGATAATTTTCAGCAGAGTTGACAGACAGTTTGTGTGAGTCATTGGACCTATACTCTGGATAAATTTTTCACAATGGTCAAATTGTTTTTTAGGCACTTCTGGAAATATTGTCTCTCTCCACTCCTTACTGAGTCACTAAGACTACTTTTGGTTTTCCAGTAAGCATACCAGTAAACTGCAGTAATTCATTGCTGCAGTTTGAGACTGAATTGGCAGTGTGGAAACTAAATGGGTTCAGATACTAAAGTATTTATAGTTGCAGATATAATTGATGTTAACAAGTGATATGATTTCCCTGTTCCATGGGAGGGACAACATAGTCCAGGAGAGAAGCTAAATGGGTCATCATAATGGTTTCTAACATGACCTCCCTGGCCCACAGGAGAGATGGCATGATTCTGTATGAACCAGTACAAAGTTGGATGGGTCAATGTAGTAGATCCAGCTGCACAACATGCAGTCTGGGTGCAGAGCTGAGGGTTTCCACTGTTTGCTCTCAGGTACTCCTAAGGCCTCTTGTGGTGTTTCTGTCAGGTCTCAACCTGTGCAACCATGTTAGTTATAGGATTGGTTGCAATTGGTTGAAATACTGCAGTTCCTAATAATTGGTTGTTGCCTCACTTGTGTGTCTGCTCCAACATGGGTTGCCCACAGGCTGCATTCCCCTCAGAGATGTACATACCACCCACACACACACAAAGTGCCTCTCCATCCACCACTGACTGCCTGTGAATTTCTTAAGTAAGTTTGAGCAGAAGAGTCATGTATTTTAATTGGATAAAATTTTGGTGTGAAGTGTGGTTTTTTTCCTTTCCCACAGTTGCTTTCATTTTCCTCATGGCAGGCTGGAAGCAGCTGTTAGAACTCACTGTGAGCAAACCTGCTGTAGAAGTAATGAGAAGAAAGGATAAATATATTCTGTTCCAGTCCCTGCTCATATGACTCAGAAGAAACAAAAAAATCTTGAATCATTTTACAAGACACTTTCATGTCTCTGCTGTAAACCTGATGATGAAACTGGGGAGCTTGGAGACATTTTCCTCCCTATGTTTTGGTTTTCTTTGCTACTTTTTGTTGTTGCTGTTGGTTTGGTTTTCATTTCTAAAGCATATATAACTATATGGCAGTGATAAAATAAAACAACGACTTTACTCTCTTGAAGACAGATGAAATCCACACACTGAGTGCTGTACAGCTGTACAGGCATGTTTGTCTTTTGTTTCTCTTTACTAGTTGGTTTGAATTAATGGTATTAATTTCCATCAAATATGTGTTTTAAAGAATTCATATATATGCTACCTCAGGGAATTATACTTTAAAAATGTATCAAAACCAGGATATGGCTGGTATGCTTTATATCCTTTTTTTAAATCACATTATATTTTCCTTTTCAGGAATGTTACACTGAAGTTGCATCTGTGCTTTGCTTTCATTTGTGGATTATATAGGACAAAGTAGCTGAATTCCTAACTTCCACATTCAAATCACTGTATTGGGAAACTTCCAAGACTCCCCTCCTTTTTTTTTAATAAAGTATTCTAGTTTTCAGTTTGTATGCTGAAACATATCATCTAGTCTGTGGGAGTTTTAAAAATATCATTAAAATGGTATGGCAACCTTCTGTTGGGTTGTATAAGGGGGAGGGAAATAATCTATCCATTTCCTTTTTCTTTCTGTCTTTAATAGGTTACTCTCATATATTTGTCCCTCCCCAGATCAGATTTGAAAAGCCTGATCTCAAGTGACTGCCTTTTACACTGTAGAATACAAATCAGGTTAAATGAAGGAATGGTAATCCTCTTATCTCTTCTGAAGGCTACCTGTTGGAGCAGGCCTAGAATCTTTTTAAATTTCATTGACCCACCTTGAATGACAACTTCTCTTTCTTTATAGACTCTTCATACTCGGAACCTCCTGATGTTCAGCAACAGTTGAACCACTACCAGTCTGCAGTTCTGTCCAGGAACAATAACATCAGCCAAATCCCACTTTCTGGGAGTGCTGCAGGAATGGAAAAAACAGAAGCTATCCTTAACTGTGAATTTTGTGAATTCTCCTCGGGTTACATACAGAGCATTCGACGTCATTACCGTGACAAGCATGGAGGGAAAAAACTCTTCAAGTGCAAAGATTGTTCCTTTTATACAGGCTTTAAGTAAGTATTGTACAAAACAAATAAATTGAACTTCTAAAGGGATTTTTTTAACACTTCAAAAGACTTCAGGAGTCTTTGTGAGAACTGACTGTAACTAAGAGACACATGGCCAATGGTGACCAGGGAAAGAAACATGGAAAATACCATACCAGATCACAGCAGCATCCACGTAATTATTTTTCTTCATTCCTACAACAACCTGTAAAATCTACTGAAAAGGAAAACAGGAGAAACACTTGTAGTAAACTGTACCCACTACAGTAAATAGTATAAGGAGCGGGGATTTTTTCCCCTCACAATTTGTAATTAGATGCTGGTCGTCACCATCAAGTATGAGGAGTTTTCTCTACAGAAATAAGGCATATTTTATGAACAATTAGCATGAAGTATGAGGCAGTCAAATGTTCTAGGTAGGTTATAGAATTTCTATTCCCTCTATGAAGAAAGTTCTCATAATCCCTACCCTACCCCCCCTGCAATTTATCTGGTTAAAATATCAAGCATACTCCAAAGTGTCTGACAACATATAGAAACATTTCAGCAAATCCAATTAAACATAGAAAAATTTTAAGTTTCAGGGGGGAGGTGTTTAGCCATGTTCCCTAGGGAAAAAAAGGTTCATGTAGTTGTGCTGTTTCTCAGTTCCTTTCTGATATTTTGAACCCTCAGTCATAGCCTCCTTAGCTAACATTCAAGGTCTCAAAGCTATTATGTCCTGAGGAGTGTGGTTGGGTAAAAGAGAGAGGTTCTGTTAAAGAATAATGTTCAACCTTTTCTGTTAGGATCACAGAATCTTAGAATATCCTGAGTTGGAAGGGACCCACAAGGATCATGGAGTCCAGCTCCTTGGTCCACACAGGGTAACCTAAAAGTGAAACTATATATATATATCTAAGAGTGTTGTCCAAACACTTCTCAAACACTGATGGGCTTGGGGCCATGACCACTTCCCTGGGGAGCTTGTTCCAGCGACCAACCACCCTCTCAGTGAAGAACCTTTTTCCTAATATTCAATTTGAACTTCCCCTGACTCAGCTTTAAGCTATTCCCTCACATCCTAGCACCGGACACCAGAGAGAAGACATCAGCACCTCCATCTCTACTCCCTCTCATGAGGAAGTTGTAGACAGCAATGAGGGTACCCATCAGTCTAAGCTGAACAAACTTGAGCTACTTAGCATCCTCAGCATCTCCTCATAAGTCACGCCCTCTAGTCCTTTCACCATCTTTATTGCCCTCCTTTGGACACATTCTAATGTTTTTATATTGGTCTTATATTGTGGATACCAAAACTGCACACAATGTTCAATGTGAGGCTATACCAATGCTGAGTTTAGTGGGATAATCACTTCTTTTGACCAGTTATCTATACTGTGCCTGGTGCACCCCAGGATACAGTTGACCCTTTTGGCTGCCAGGGCACGTTGTTGTCTCATATTGAGCTTACTGTTGACCAAACCCCCCAGATTCCTTTCTGCAGGGTTGCATTCCAGTGTCTTGTCCCCCAATCCATACATATGTGCAGGATTACACTGTCCCAGATGCAGTCTCCGGCATTTGTCCTTGTTAAATTTCATACAGTTGGTGATTGCCCAGCCCTTTACTCTATCAAGACCTCTCTGTAAGGTCTCCCTACCCTTGAGGGAAGCAACAGCTACTCCTAATTTAATAACATTGGCAAACTTACTTAGTGTATACTCAACTCCTATGTCCAGGTCATTGATAAAAACACTGAGGAGAACTGGTCCTAAAATTGAACCCTGGGGAACTCCACTAGTGACTGGCCAACAGCCAGATGTTACCCTATTTGCTACAACTCTTTGAGCCTGACTCTTCAGTCAATTGTTCACCCATTGTATTTGGTATGTATCTATATGCTGGACATTAGAGATCTCATACAAGAGTAGCCTTTTCTTCTACCAGGATTAAACAAAATTACCTTAAATCAATCTGTAATTACATATGTTCATAGTTACATAAAAAGAGTTGTGTTCTTTATTGTGATGTCTCAAACTTTCTGGGATTAAGTCTTTCAAACTTATCAACTTGGTGCCAGTTTTACTGTAGGTGCAAGTTGATTTCATATCTCAAATCAACATTTTAGCTGTTGTGGGACTGGTCCTACAAAGAGGGACGTTGAGGATTTTTTTTTTTTTTTTACCATCAGAAATAATTTTTATCCTTCAAAGTCTAGGACAGTTGAAACGATTTTACTCAATTTACTAAAATGCCTCTCTTTGGCAAAGGCAAGCAAATAATGAGTACAAAAGTTGGAAATACTTTTGCCATCTTAACTGTAGCAATGTGACTATAGATCAATTACTGCAAAAGAATATCTTGTGCAGAATGTGTTTTCAGTTACTTAGGGATATGAGCCTGCAAATACCTATGCTTATGTGAATAGTCCTGATGAAATGCCATGTGGCTTTATGGAGAGAAGGTTGAGTGCTATCTATACCATTTTATACAACACTTCTGTAATAGAACTGTGACACTTCAGTGTTCCATACACACCTCTTCTGACTGCTTCCATGTCTCCCTCCCATTTCACAGATCTGCTTTTACTATGCATGTGGAAGCTGGACATTCGGCAGATCCTGAGGAAGGACCCAAAGACCTTCGTTGTCCTCTTTGCCTATATCACACCAAATACAAACGTAACATGATTGATCATATAGTTCTGCACAGAGGTAAAGATGTCCCTGTATATATCTATATCCAACAAAGAGAATACTGAACTGAACACCACTCTTTCAGATTGATCCATTAAGTTTTTTCTCTGTATGTGAGGTCAGATATGTTGAATAGATCAGGCACTAGGCCCTAGTACATCTTACTTCTTTTCTGTGAAATACAGTTTTCCAATGTAGAAGTAAGCCAGATTTAAAATTCTTTTTGCACTTTTCCTCTACAACAACCCTTTCCCCCAGGAAAGATAGCCCTTACCCTTGGTGGGCCACCCTGGGCTCTCCATAAGCAGCAAGAGCGTTCTGTCCTGGCACCTTTTGTCTGGGAGGACAGTCACCAAACACCTACTTAGACTAATTCACAACTTGGACCTAGGCCAAGGTTGTTCCTATGTATGTGTTTCTAAAGTGCTTACTATCATAAACACTGTGGTAGGATGTATCAATTAACTCTAGGGGCTTTAAAATATTCCTTGACTCCTTGCTTGAAATTTTTCTCTTCATAACACCTTCCTCACCTGTCCTTAGGAACAAGACAAAAATTAGGATGTTTATTACCCCCCTCTTTTTTTTCATTTTAATAGATCTAAAAGTAGGATTAGGGATTCCTATTCTGTTAACTAAAGACAAGCTCAGAAGAGACATCTTTCGTGGTGCCCTCGGCTGAGATTCCTGCTGTTCTGGATTAACACTGGTGGGAAGCTAAGCCCCACACAGCTGCTCGCTCACTCCCCCTTCAGTGGGATGGGGGGAAGAAACAGAAGGGTAAAAGTGAGAAACCTCATGGGTTGAGATAAAGACAGTTTAATAGGAAAAGCAAAAACCACGCACGCAAAACAAGGAATACATTCATTGCACCCATGGGCAGGCAGGTGTTCAGCCATCTCCAGGAGAGCAGGGTTTCATCTTGTTCAATGGATACTTGGGAAGACAAATGCCATCACTCAGAACATTTCCCCCCTTCCTTCTTCTTCCCAAAGCTTTTATTGCTGACCATGACATCATATGATATGGAATATCACTTTGGCCAGTTGGGATCAGCTGTTCCAACTGTGTCTCCTTGTTGATGGAGGGGTACGGACAGAATGCTCACAGATCAGTTTGATCGGCTTTATTAGAAGAAAGACACCTTATATACTGCTTATGACACTCAGACGTGTGATTCTTGTTCACAGAGTATTGGATACATAAGGAAAACATACTTTGTTGTCCACTGCTAATTGGACCGCAACAGGTGGCCATATGAGATGAGAAAACTTGTTCACCTGCCAAAAACTCCTCCTTGACCTTGGCAAAAAGCCTCTTTTGTTCTAACTTCAGTCCCTGTAGCCATATTTTAGCTACGCAGTTAGTTTTACTATCCACACCCAATTATGCCAAGGCAAGGTTCACAGAGATGCAATAGAAATTGTTCACACATAATCTTTATTCTTCCAACAAATCCCCCTTTCAAGTTTTGAACAATTTAAATTGCATTTCTGTAACATTTCTTATTGTACCCATAACATTTCAATAAACACAATTACATATATTAATACCACTACCATTAACAAACTTAATAACCTATTGACCTTAAGGTTTGTGCTCTTAAATTTTGCTTAAAAGTGCTTCTCTAAATTCAGGGTTTATTCTTAAAAATTTTTATTCCATCTAAAACACTTCTGGAAATGGAACTCCATTCAGTTTTGGTTTATGTGTCTTCTGTTTTTATTTAAAGGTGTTTGTGTATTTGTGAGATCAAAACACATTAATCATCATACATTCACACACATACACTCATACAAACTCTCACAGTGGCCACTGTCAAACATACCTTCACACAAACATACTTTTGAGTTCCATATCACTGTGTTTTATAAACTAAAAAATTATAATAATTCTCTAGTACCTTATAATGTTAAAGTTTCTTAACCAAACAGATAAAATTTCTTTTACTAATATATAGTGAATAATCTAAAGTTCACACAACACACTTTCTTAAATTCTAAACTTCTATCATGTATGTGCTTCTTAACTTCTAGACTTATGTGCCTTAGAAATACTGAAAAAATTGTGCTCATAATACTAAAAATTGTGCTTTTGTAATACTGAAAAAACTGTGCTCAAAAAACTGTTCTAATAATATTAAGACAACTGTTAGCTACAACAGCTTCTGGTGATGTCACAGTCACCTGCAGGAACAACATCAACCTTGTTCCGAAGTATCAGCTTCTTTCCAAGACTTCATCCATCATGCAGATAGCTAGAGAACACCTGTGTGCAAAAAACTTAACACATTAAACACTTTTGCAGGTTAATCAAGGGGGTTGACACCCTCTCTCCCTCCTTTCGCTTTGCAAAAGTGTGTCAAGAACTGTTGAATCATTAATCCCTTTACTAAATACCTTTATGCTAATAACAAAAATTCTATAGTATCTCTATTCTGTAATAGGACATGTCGTACACTATCTACATCTTCTAATAATTTTGATAAAATTATGTTTTGCTTTTCTTATTACAACTCACAGCTGTGCTACAAAAGCTGTTTCAGCTGAAAAGTACAGATTTTTTTTTAATAAGTATAAAGTAAAATATACGGATGAAAAGAAAAGAAGAAAGTTAGAAAAAAAGACATGATGTAGAGAAGTCAGGAGTTTCTCAAAACATGAATAACAATGAGGAAGGAAGTTTTTTGGGTTAGGGTATCTGTCAGGATCAAAATAGTACCAAATGGACTTTGTTAGAGGATAAGGAGTAGAGCTCTGATTGTCAATTCACTGCTTTTCTCTTGCTGTAGTGTCAGGCTAGGAGTTCCAAAAGATGAAGTAGCTATAAAACTGTAACTACTGGTGGAGAGAAAGCAACATATTAGTTATCACTGTAATGTCACAGGATGTTATTAACGTAAAAGAAAAGAAATGTTGTAACATAGATGTAGTATAACTCGATCTCAACTCATATTGAGTAATTATAGATTTAGTTTCTTTTAACATCTAATCTAAGGCTTAATATCTTCTATTGTCTCCCACATCTGTTATAACTGGAAATGCATTAGGAGTTAACGACTAAATTTTCTCTCTATCATAGCATGTCACAGAATTCCTTTCTATCTCTGCTCCGGACCCTCTCCACTCTCACTAGCCCTTGATCTCTCAAACAGCAGATTTACAGATCCCTCCAGTACGATCCCACCCCCTCCCCCCTCCCTGAAATGGAGTTTCTGGAGGCAGTGGAATCGATTCTGCTACAGATGCCTGCAAAGCTTTTCTTGCAGCTGCGCCTGGTTCTCTGAGTCCCTCTTTCTGTCCTCGTAATCCGATGTCGAACTCGGGGACAGGAGAGCGGATAGCAGCAGCGGTAGATAGAGCGGCGTGGTGATGGGTGCGGGCACGAGCGGGCAGGTGGTAACGATGGGCACGGGTGGCGCAGCGGGAGCGCCGACAGGGCTGGTAAGGCTCACAGAAATGCAATAGAAATTGTTCACACATAATCTTTATTCTTCCAACAAATCCTCCCAACTTCTAGTGCACCCCCAGCCTACTGGTTGTGTGAGAAGCAGAAAAGGCCTTGATGCTTTGCAAGCCCTGCTCAACAATAACAAAAACATCCTTGTGCTATCAGCACTGTTTCCAGCACAAATCCAAAACACAGCACCACATGGGCTACTATGAAGAAAATTAACTGTACTCCAGTCAAACCCAGTACACCTGCCCACAGTTATCACACTTGTAGGTCTGTTGACTGTCAAAATTCAAACCTGTGTGTTTGGATAGTGCCCTGCCTGCTTGCAGTTTGGACAGAGTTTTTGAGTATTGCATTGCTGATGAGCAAACACGTTTCATGTTTCTTGGAGGAGCTTCTGATGTTGCAACCACTGTCATAATCTGTTGTATAGCAAACCACTTTTCAATGCTAGTCATTTAGGTTCCTTCCCATACCAAAGCAGTGAAGTAGATGTATGTCATTCAAACTTCTTTCTGCTGTAAAGGTTATTTTGAAGGAGCATTTGAGAAAAATGCTAAGGACTGTTCAAGGACCCAAAAAGGATATAACAAAAGTATATAACAAAGCTGTCTTACTAAGTGTAAGGGTTCAAGAGGTGCTTTTGCTTAGGTGCAAGTTTATCCTTGAGGGTATCATAATGTTGTATTTTGTCCAGATTTAGAGTATGCTCCAGGATTACTCTGGAAAAAAGGTAGGTTTGGAAGGCAGGGTGGGGGTCCAGGAACAGAAACCCTGGGGCTCCAAATATTGACTTCGGTGCCAATATCTTGTGATATAGTGTTCTCTGGTTCATGGTTGTGCCCAAGATAAAGTGGAGAAGGTCTGACAGTTCAAATGCAAATAAACAGAGAGAGAGAGAGATTTTGCTGGGTCTAGTTAGGCAAACTTCCAGCAAAAGTAGGCAATGCTGAGATGCAATGGTGGAGTAGCACTTCATGGGTTCAAGGCAGTTGTGCTAGCTTTACAGAGCTGTTTCTGACCAAATGGTAGGAAGTAGAAGTGGTTACCCCCTGAATATGTGACACCAGACCTGGGTTTTTTTATAGCTATAGCTTCAGTTGCACAAAGCCTTTGTGCTGTTGAAACAAATCTGTAATAGGAAGGGATGTTGAGGGAGGTAAAACAGAATAAAGGATTTAATGTAAATGAAAATTTAGCCTTTAAAGAGTTTTATAGACCCCAAGGGAAGGGCAGGGATTTTTATCAGTCATGAAGCACCCAGACTGTAAAGGAATTAAGGTCCATTCTTAAATTTTTTCTTTCTGGTGTATATATCCAGACTAAAATCTATTGTATCTAAATGTGGCAGCTAATGCAGAGGATTTTGATGGGGTTAATGTGCACAGAAAGAAGGTGCTGCTGTGCAGACAGGACTGAGGGATATTGCACAGTCTCAGATAGCCTTCCTTACTTGTAGCCATTTGGATTTATAAAATAAGGAGAGTCTCAAGTTGTGGTCTAAGCACATTTGTTCTCCAGGTAGAATAAGCAGCATATTGCATAAAAATATATATTGTATAAAATATATAAATGAAAATAATTATATAATATTTATAAATATATATAAAATATAAATAAATAAAAAGTATATTGTATAAAATATATATTGTATAAAGTCAGAAAATTGAAAGTTTTGATCCGTTTTCTGTATTATCTTCTCTCCTATGCAAAAATCCCTCCAGCAAAGAGAAAAAACAGTTTTAGATCTCTAACTTACATTATAGCTTTCAAAATGGTGACATCGCAAGTCCTTGATTTGGCAGCATGCAGTTGAAATGAAGACTCTTTGTCTCTTAGTGAATACCTGCAGAAGTTGATTCTTACTGAGCTACAACATTATTGTTATGGTCGGGAGGATGTTGCCAGTTTGTCACTGAGAACCTTCTATCATGTGTCACCTACTCTGCTCAATCAGTTCTTCAGACTGATTTAACTTTGATTCATAGAATCATAGAAAAGTCTACTTCTGGAGAACATCTGGTCCAACTATTTGTTGGAAGCAGGACCTTAGATTAGGTTATCCAGGGCCCTGTCAAACCAAGTCTTGAATATTTCCATCAAGGGATATTCCACTTCTTCTCTGAATAACCTATTCCAATGTTTTAATTGTTTTCATGGTGAATAATTTTCCTATATCCAGATGGAATTGCCTCTGAAGCAACTTGTGCCCATTGCCTCTTTTTCTGTCACCACACATCCTTATGCAGTACCTCCATCTTCTCTATGACTACCTTGGGATTGGTTTGCCTTCATTGTTACGAGGGCACACTGCTGTTTCATATTCAGCTTGCTGCCCACCAGGATCCCCAAGGACTTTACAGCAGAGTTCCACCCCAGCCAGTTAGACCCCAGCCTGTACTGCTGCTTGGGATTGTTCTGTTCTAGGTGCAGGACTTAACATTTCTCTTTGTTAAACCTCAATTAATTCTTCTTGGCCCAATCTTCCAACCAGTCAAGGTCTCTGTAAGGTTGCTCCTTCTTCTGGTGTATCTACCTCCCCCCAGTTTGGTGTTATCTGCAAGTTGGTGAGGGTGTATTCAATGCTGTCATACAGATCATTTATAAAGATATTGACCCAGAATCAACCTCTAAGGAACTCCACTAGCTGCCAGTCTGATTTTTCTTACCTCAAAAGATGGCTCACTGTAGAGAGTTTTCTACCCATCTTGTGGTCCATTTTTATGGTCCAAATTTTACCAGCTTGTCAACAAGGGTGTTGTTAGAGACCATGTCAAAGATCATGCTAAAAATCAAGGTAGATGATGTCCACAGTTCTCCTCTTATCCACTGAGCAAGTTATTTCATCATAGAAGGCAGTCTGATTGGTCAAGCACAATTCATCCTTTGTGGGCTGAAGCAGGGAGTGAAAATGGAAATTGCAAAGTCAGTAGCTACTTTACAGGCAAACACTGAGAAGAGATTTGGTTCTTGAGTTTCTCTTGACCTTCATAACAGGCAAATCTCGTGAGCTCTTGAAATTTCCATAATGGAGACAGAACTCTTGCTCCCTGCCCAGCAGAGCTCCTGCTCCCTGCCCAGTAGAGTTGTTGGCCTTTCATTTAGACCAGGCAGTGCAATTAGTTTTTATTATCCTTTCGTGCAAATTTTCCCATCATGAAATGCCTTGATATTTTTCCAGCACCGAACACAACACACCAAGATCAATATTAGGGATCCTTCTTTATATTTCTTAATGCATTTGTTTTTTAGTAATTATTTTACTTTTTTTCATGGTATAAATAATTGTTTTTTCTTCCATTTCATATAATTGTCATCTGTTTCTCTGAAACAATAAATTTTCATATATAAGGTCTTTAGAGTGTTAAATGTGCACTTTTTTTCATGTTGTAAGCAAAATGTATGCCTGCTTTGACTTTACATACTCTAAATATTTAGTGCATTAATTGCTTTTCTCTTTAATCTTAGATCTGTATTACAAATAGCCCAAATGTTTCAGTCTAAAGAAGTGAATACATTTCTTCAGAGATGATGCTGGGGAGGGATGGAAAAGAGGTCCCGTTAGTCCTTTTGCTAAACTGTTCCACAACAGGTCATCTTTTTACAAGTGCGTACATGGTAGACTTTGTGGGCACTGCTGAACTTGAATGAAATCTGTGTACCGAAGCCAAAGCTGAGTTTCACAATTTTTGGATAGGACTCATATTTGTTTCAGTTTTGCCAGTTGCTCAGATACAATAAGTGTATAAATGACTAGCCAAATATAGAGGGGGTGGAGTATGCGATGACTGACAACTATTAAAGTGGTCAAATATTGTTAGAGCATCAATGATGTTTTAAATTCAAATCACTTTGCAATTTTTAAGTTAATTGTTTAGATTAAGTTCACTGACATGAATACACGTAAATTTAAGTCATTAGTGTCATCGAGCAGCAAGGATCAGCTGCTCCCCAAGGTCAAGGGAGAAGAGAAGGATAACATAGACGGTAGGGGTGGAGCCTTGCTTTCTAGGGCCCAGCCCTGCAAGTACCAGAGCAAGGCAAGCAGGGCAGACTCAGAGATGATGGCCAGGTTCTACCAAGAATCCAGATCATCAGGCAAATTTGCAGCAATTACAAGATCCAAGATCAAAACAGAAAGTTAAACCACAGGTGTCATGGTTTAGGAATGGTATTCCCCAATTTAGTATTCCCACTAAAAACCACAAGCTGATCCCCTTCCCCCCTCTGGTGGGAGACAAAAGGCACAAATTTTGGGTTGAGATAAGAACAATTTACTGGAAACAGCCATGAGGTAAGAAAATGAACAGTAACAGCAACAATACTAATGACAACAGTGTACAATGGCTGACAGGTTCCCCACCCCGCCACACTTTGTTCCACCAGAAAGGGACGCCCTTCTTCTCAGGAGAAAGTCCCTTTTCCCTGCCTCTGGCAATGACATATAGTGGTATCGAATAACACAACGTCTTGGACACACCCCCTCCCTCTGATGTGGGCTGGAATCAGGACAACAGGTCAGAAACAGATCCAATGATTGTCAAGCAAATCCATGGTGATAAGGCAATTACAAGATCAAGCTGGGAAGTTAGTCTATGTTGTGTTGCCTGTGATTTGTCAGGTGTGGGGAAGTGATTGTCAGTAAGATGATGGGTTTTACTGATAGGAATTAGGATGGTGCATTGCTCTGAAGTGGTGGATAAAACCTTTTATATCATCCCCTGCTTTAGTGTTTTTTTAAAATATGTGTCACATGCTAGAGAAAAATCTAATTTTCAAATGTTTTAAATGGAGTTTCTCTTTTAAAAACTTTTTGTTGGAACTTTTTTCACTTTTAAAAACAAGTTACCTTATTTCAGTGAATTCAATTGCACAGAGCTGTAAATACCTTTTAAAATATTCTTGTTATGTGTTCAAAATCACAGCTTTAACTCTTGTTATCTCTTAGAACATGTGCACCCCCATCACTTTTCCCACTTCACACAACTCAGCATTTTTTTGCAACAACTTCTTTATCTGGAGAGGAACCACAAGTTTTCAGGGTGTCACTCAGATATAGCTTTGGGGGAAATTTCCACTTTTACAGTGCACAAAGAGAAGGTTCTGAGGTAGGAAAACTTCCATGTTCAAAATAAGGGGAACACAGGGAGGAGAACAAACTGAGGAGGGTGTAATATTAGATGGGCTGTGGAAAATTAGGCTCATGAGCAGTGGGAGTTATGCATTGGCCAAAGACAAATGGATGAATTCTGTAGCTCTTACCTCCCTATAGAAATTATAAGAGATGTGTCAATGCACACAAGTTCCCTACCCTTCATGTTTACCCTCTAAGAATCACGCCTGGGATTATTTTTGTTTGTTTGTTTGTTTTAAGATATCATTAATGATGATCTTCATGAGGAAGATCAAACTCTTCCTTTAATCTGCAGTCCATAAGGAATAATAGTACTAAATTTCAGTGTTCTACTAAGGATGGTTGAGTAACAAAAGCTGTAGTGAAGATCTTCTGGTGACCCTCTGCTGAAAGCACAGAACCACAGTGGATGAATATTGAACACATCAGGATTCTATCTCTATATAGAAAGACTGAATTTAATTGTGCTGACCTATTAAAAGTGTGTGTTTTGCATGAGAGGAAGGAAGTAAAGAATTTAATAGTTCAGTGAGAGCATTTTCAATACATGCTTGTAGCATAATCAGAATTGTGGGAAACATGAAATTATGTGTGGATTTTGAATCTTAGCTATTAAAAAGATGAGGGTGCAGACCCACCTTCAGGAGAAGATACTGCTGTACAGTAAGTAGCATTAGATGTGATGGTGACAATACCAGCTCTGATCATCAGAAGCTGGGAGGGTGATGTATTGGGAATCACCCTATATGCTCCCTGTTTATTACAGTTCTAGCACCTTTTTCTGGCTTCTGTTATGTGTTGAACCAGAATAGAGCTTGGTCTGACTGATTTCTGTCTGCTTTTATATTCCTAGGCTCTGATACTCTGTCTCACAAATCTGCCCCAACACTCAAATCTGCCCCAAATCTCATCTTCCCATTCTGTTCACCTGATAAGTGGTTACATTTGCAAGGACACCTGCACTGATAGTCATGTAGGATTGTTGGTCCAGTTTTAGCTCAGTAGATGGACTGCATACACAAACAGTAGATCCTGTTTCTTCTGTGGGTGGTATGTTACAATTTGTTGACACATTACCTGATGTTTTTTATTTCTTAAAACTTAATAAACATTCCCGTCTTCCCACAGAAGAGCGGGTTGTTCCCATTGAAGTTTGCCGTTCCAAACTGTCAAAATACTTGCAGGGAGTTGTTTTCCGCTGTGATAAGTGTACCTTTACCTGCTCCACTGATGAGAGTTTGCAGCAACACATAGAGAAGCACAATGAACTTAAACCTTACAAATGTCAACTCTGCTACTATGAGACCAAATACACAGAGGAACTGGACACTCATCTTCGAGATGAGCACAAGGTAACATCCAAAGGGATTTAATTTGTAACAATCTACTTCTTGCAAATGCTATATCTAGTTTATTTGCATGTCCACTATGAATAGTCAGCCTGCATTTTTTCCTTCCAAAATTTGGAGAAGGTTCCTGTGCTGGAATTTCTCTCAAGTTCTGTATGTTTTTAGAAATTCAAGATTGTGAGTTTCTAAAGCTGCTGAGATTGACCAAAATTCACCGACTACTCAATGTAGAGTATGATTATTTGGAAAAAGCATTTTTATATATTGTGATGGGGGTTTTTTGAGTTATGAAACAGCATTAAGACTCTGTGATTCAAATACTCTCAGACACAGGAGCTTCCAAAGCATAAGATTGCTCTGGCAACTTGGACAAAGTGACGTGCCATGCATATTCTAATAACACCAGTCAGTACATTCCAGTTTGCATTTAACAAGGTAAAAATAGAAGCTTGTTATACTTACTGCTTAAGTTAAGGCTGCTTTGGTGTTTATGTGGAACCTTCTGAGTGCAGACCTGATCCATACTTGGAGAAGTCACTAGAAAGCTTTCCACAGACTTCCATCTGCTTTGGATTTCTGTAGTTCTCATCTGTGTTGCTGTGAGAGTAGCAAAATTCTAGAACTGAGACATGTTTACAGAGTATTTCTTTTGTCAATTTGTGGGGAGGGAACTCATTGAATAGAACTATCAGGAGCTGAGGTGCTTGATTCTCACTAAAAATGTGTTCACATTTTGTTGACTGAACAACATTTCTCCCCCCCCCCAAAAAAAAAATTGACAAAATGACTGTCAAAAGTACCAACAAAACTGGCTACATTTTAAAAATTAACATTGTGAACTTATGTTGGCTTGGTATGCTTGTCTCGCTTAATTGCTCCTTGTCGCTACTTGAGAATCTTTCTACAGTTTAACTGGTATCTGAGATGTTGCATATCTCTCAGTGACCACAGCAAGGATCCTAGGAGATCCAAGAAGCGCTATTCCCCGCCCCTCTGACTGAGTGCATCAGGCTGGGAAGATTTTCCTTCTACTTGTGTCTCTCTTCTCTCCAATAAAAACCTGAACTGATTACTCCCAGTAGTAAGGGAGTAAGTTCCCTTATCCCCCTATTTTAATAATTTCTAAATGTTAACTGTCTAATTTGTGCCCACTCTGGGCTCAGGTGCACAATTGGCTTATTGGTATCTTAAAGAGTGCATTAGCTGAGAGACTGTAAGTGCCATGTATGTGACCTTCTTTGCTTAAATCTAATAGGTAACTTGTTGAGTCATAGCACCTCAACACAGCTGTCACTTCTAGGAACATGATACTAACACACTGCTATATTTAGGGTAGCTTGCTATTTGCTGATAAACCACTGAGTTGTGGGTTGATCTTGGCTGGCAAGAAGAGGCCCACCCAGTCACACTCTCACTCCCCCTCCTCAAACAGAACAAGGGGAGTATTGTGGCTTAACCTCAGTGGGCAGCTAAGTCCCACATATCTGCTCACTCCCTCTCCCACCAGTGAGATGAGGGAAGAGAATTGGCAGGGTAAAAGTGAGAAAACTCGTGGGTTGAGATAAAGACAGTTTAATAGGGAAAGCAAAAGCCGTGCACACAAGCAAAGCAAAACAAGGAATTCGTTCACCACTTCCCATGGGCAGGCAGCATTTCAGAGAAGACTCAGAGGCAAACTGCATGGACAGATGTGCTCTGGAGCTGAGGACTGGACCAGAAGGAGTGAGGTGAGCTTTCCTACCTGGCAAGACCTCGAGACTAGAGCAGAGAGAGGCGCCCCAGCCCCCCCTCCCAAGTGGGAAGCAGTGGACCTGTGAATCAGAAGCAGCTCTGACTCAGCATGGGTGGCGCCAGCAGGGACAGCGCCCAAACCCACCCCCAGGGAGCGTGAGGAATCAGTAGTATGGATGTGTTAGCTTGTGTGGGCAGTTCGCGCGAGGAGGTACTGCAGCTAAAGCACTTAGCTCAGTTGGTGGCCATCACTCTCACCAAGAGAGCTCAGGTATGGTGTCCACTCAGACAAAAGTTGCTTCCTCTGCATGTACCCAGACGGAGCACTCACAAAAGCATGCAGCTGTCCAGGCCTCAGACTGCAGGGAGTACCACAGCCTGGCGCTGCTCTCAGAGGGCAGCAGAGACAACAGCTGTGTGAGGTGCAATCAGGTGGACAATCTGCTCAGCCTGGTAGTGGAGTTGAGATGAAGTAGAAAGACTAAGAAGTATTAGGGACTCTGAAGAAGAGATTGACTGGAGCACCTCATTCTGGAGGCCATTTCTATCCTCATGGAGGACAAGAAGGTGATCAGCTGTCCCAGCTGTGTCCATTCCCAGTTTCTTGTGCACCCCCAGCCTGTTTGCTGGCAGGATGGTGTGAGAAATTGAAGAGTCTTTCACTTAGTGTAAACATTGCTCAGCAACAACCAAATCATCACTGTGTTCTCAGCATTATTCTCATACGGAATCCAAAACACAGCACTGTACCAGCTACTAGGAAGAAAATTAACTCTATCCCAGCTGAAACCAGGATAGCGTCTGTCCTTACAGAATTGCATAGTCACAGTAACTTACTAAGGGTAGAAAATGATTCTATTACAAATCATAACACATATCCAAATACCTGCTGAGTCACCAATATGCACCCCAAAAGTGGCTGGCGGAATCTCAAATGCACCTGCTCATCCCACAAGGACAATCATTATAGTCCACATTTTAGGTTAAACAAGAAACCCTCCCAACAGTCACTCTCCTTCCTCAGACACATGCATCTTGCTCCCTGTACATGCTAACCTCATTCAGTAGGAAAGCACAAGCACATGACCAATGGCTTCTCTTCAACACATACTTTTGCAGAAAGAACCCTAAAACTTCCCCTGCTTCCTTCACTTCCCTATACCCACTCTACAAAAGGCCAAGACCCACTACCAGTTCTCCTTATACAAACCAGCAGAGGTTATAATTTATGCCCATTAACCACCCATTATACACACAGACATGCTACTGAGAAAAAAGGTTATAATGCTGTACAATTCTTCTTGCCCACTTCCTCCAAATAAAAGGGTACAATTCATGCTATCCTCCTCTACCTGCCACACAGGCTTACTCCAACCAAACAAGAAAGGCCATTACTGAGAGGAGTTGTGGAGAACTGGTCACAAATGCTGTTGCTCCCTTTCACTTCTTGCCCCTGCATGCCAAATTCTAACAACTGAGGGGTAGGGTGTTCCCCCCTCCTCCCCTCCATACCCTTTTTCCAAGAAAGGAAGGTGCAGTGCCTGCAGCAGGAGTGAACTGGTACAAGTTTAAAGAACAGAGTGCGAGAGAGCTCCCCCACCCTGAGGCCTGCACCATTTCTTCAGGATCTATGTTGATCTTGAAAGTCTGTTGTTGCAGTGTTTTCAGAGTGATCTGCATGGTGGTAGTCAGGCACCCTTCGTGCTCACTGCTCCGGCATGTCCCAGGAGTGAAAGAAAAACAGTAAATACAGAGAGGCGCCCGTCACCACCACATCCTCCACCACTCGCTCCCGGGCCTGGAGTCGCATTCACTGCCCCAAAAAGGAGGGAGCGGGGGAAGAGGAGAAAGGACACCCACACAGGTCTAGCGTATGAAGATAAGGGGGAAGGAACAGCAAGCAATAGATGATGTTCAGGGACTAGAGGGAAGGGGAAAGGGAATGAGAAAGAAGGATGCATGCACAAGCAGAAGGGGAAGAAGATCATAGAATCATAGAATTGTTTAGGTTGGAAAAGACCTCTAAGATAGATGACAGAATGGAAAGAAGAGTATAAGACAAGTATAGCTACAAACATACACAAGCAAACACATACCTTCTCTGAAGCTAAGGTTTGGAGCCAAGCTAAGGTTTGGAGCCACTTCATGTCTTGGGCATTTTTGCTGTTGTGACAGAATCATTCATGTTGGAAGACATCTCAGGAGGACTCTAGTCCAAACTTCTGCTCAAAGCAGGGGCAACTGAGGTCAGAACAGGTTGCTCAGGGTCTTAAACCAGTCTGATCTTGAAAATATCTCTCCTGGTTTCATCTGAGATAATTTTCTTCCTAGTGACTGTTATAGTGCTGTCTTTTGGATTTAGGATGAGAATAACATTGCTAACATGTTCCACATGTTTCAGTTTGATGTTATTAACTCTGCGCCCTCATGTGGAAGTTCGTCAAAGTGTCTGTGCAGTGGGGGATGTGACCCTAAGAGATTCAGAGCTGAAAGAATGAGTCTAATCCTTTGACTAAAGAACCAGTTTCACCTAACTTGTGGCTGTTGCAGACTAATGTTTTGTGTAGACCAACAGCTAGAAAGGGATGAAGAGTCATGCTGTCTTTGTGAGGATTACATCAGCACTACACACAAGCACAGGTGCTGAAATGACCCTGGAAACTATGGTATCCAGGCAGAGAAAAAGAAGGTACTATCACCTGAGCCTCATAAATCCTCAAGTCTTCAAAAAGGGCAAGAAGAAGGATCCAGGGAACTACTGGCCAGTGAGCCTCATCTCAATCCCTGGAAAGGTGATGGAACACCTCATTCTGGAGGCCATTTTTATCCTTGTGGACAACAAGAAGGTGATCAGGAGCAGTCAGTATGGATTCACTAAAGGGAAATCATGCTTGACCAAGCTAATTGCCTTCTACAATGAGGCAACTACCTGAATGGATGAGGGGAGAGCAGTGGATAGTGTCTACATGGACTTCATCAAGGCTTTCGACACTGTCTCTCAAAATATTCTCATAGGCAAACTCAGGAAGTGTGGACTGGATGAGTGGACAGTGGGGTGGATTGAGAACTGGCTGAACGGCAGATCCCAGAGGGTCATGATCAGTGGCACAGGGTCGAGTTGGAGGCCTGTCACTAGTGGTGTCCCCCAAGCTTCAATACTGGGCCCAGTACTGTTTAACTTATTCATCAATGACTTGGCTGAAGGGGTAGATGCCTCCTCATCAAGTTCACTGATGACACAGAACTGGGAGGAATGGCTGATACCCCAGAGGGCTGTGCAGATGTTCAGAAGGACCTTGACAGGTTGGAGGGATGGGCAGAGAGGAACTGTCTGAAATTCAACAAAGGCAAATGCACCTGGGAAGGAATAACCCCATGCACCTGTACAGGCTGGGGGTCGACCTGCTGGAAAGCAGCTCTGCGTAGAAGGACCTGGGGGTCCTGGTGGACAACAAGCTGTCCATGAGCCAGCAGTGTGCCCCAAAGGCCAATAGGATCCTGGGGTGCATTAGGAAGAGCATTGCCAGCAGGTCAGAGAGGAAATCCTGCCCCTCTACTCAGCCCTGGCGAGGCAGATCTGGAGTGCTATGTCCAGTTCTGGGCTCCTCAGGACAAGAGAGACACGGAGCTCCTGGAGCAGGTCCAGTGGAGGCTGCAGAGATGCTGAAGGGACTGGAGCATGTCTCTTACAAGGAAAGGCTGAGGGAGCTGGGGCTGTTCAGCCTTGAGAAGAGACAGCTGAGAGGGGACCTCATCAATGTCTACCAGTATCTGCAGGGAGGTGTCAGAGACTGGAACCAGGCTGGTAGTGCCGAGCAATAGGACAAGAGACCACGGGCAGGAACTGATGCCCAGGAAGCTCCACCTGAACATGAGGAAGAACTGCTTTGCTTTGCAGTGACCAGGCATTGAACAGGTTGCCCAGAGAGGGTGTGGAGTCTCCCTCACTGGAGATATTTCAGAACCGTCTGGACGCAATCCTGTACCATATGCTCTGGGATGGCCCTGCTTGAGCAGGGAGGTGGGACCAGATGACCCACTGTGGTCCCTTCCAACCTGACCCATTCTGTGATTCTGTGATTACTGTCAGGGACAAAACAGACTTGGCTTGAGGAAAATTAAGTTAATCTATTGACAATTAAAATACAGTTGGATGGTGAGAAACAAAGACCAAAAAAACCCTTCAACACCACTCCCTCATCCCTACCTATTTTTCCCAAGCTCAACTTCACTCTTTCCTTCCCAACTCCTCTACCTTCTCCCCCCACCCTAAGTGGCACAGGGAATATGGGCCACTAGCCAAAGATGAACCCATGAGTGAAGCTGGTGGCACCTCTGTGAAAACATATTTTAAAAAGGGTGGAAAATGATGGAGACAGTAGGTGGGAATGCAGAGAGAATGAGGAAAGTGAGAGGAGGAGGGAATTGGGGGAAACAACAGAGGAGTAGGAGGTGCTCTATGGTAGAGCAGATACTCTCAAAGGGTCTCCAGTCTGTGGAGAACCCACACTAGGGCAACTATTCCCCCATTCCATTCCCCCCACCCCCAAATGTCCACAAGAACAGTTTACTTCGACTGTCAAAGTGATCACTCAGGTCCCATCTTTTCACATATGAAGCTGAATAAAGCATTCACAAAGGTTTTTTCTGCAGTGATGGCACGCAAAAGTGATGCTTGATCCTATCAGTTTTACAATCCCATGAAAGGGGGGAAACGACAGTGTGCTTAGCATTCCTTGGAATTTTTATTTTCAATACTTCAAAATGCGGGAAGCTTCTCAAATAATAGGACCATTTCGAGAAGCAAAATGAAGGCATTTAGTATAAAAAAGGAATGAAGAACCATTAACAGTGAATGTAATTTTATTTGAAGGGAAATGTATTAATTTGATTAGATGCCTGATAAATTTCCCATTTCAACCTATAGCTTTGTTGATGGGTTGGGTTTTTTTTCAATATTTGATAATGGTGTTTATTATTGAAAAAAAACCATTTGTTTTAAGGTGAGTCGTAACTTTGAACTGGTTGGACGGGTTAACTTGGATCAGCTGGAACAAATGAAGGGAAAAACAGAGAACTCCAGCAGCGATGAGGAAGAAAAAGAGTCAAGGCACAAGACTGAAGAGAGAGGTCAGTATACTTGCTTTTTCTTTTAGGCTGGATACTGTCATGGACCCTGCTGGTTACATCAAGCAAGATCAATTGTTGACTCAACAGGAGATTCCTTAAGTCGTGTGAGCTTGTCAGTATGGGCAAAATGGAGCTTTTGTCAATTCCTGAAGGAATTTTGTGTTTTTAATGCTTATGATTTCTTTCCCTAACTTGCAGCTGTAGCAGACAGATGTTTTGTGTAGACTAGCATCCAGAAAGGGATGAAGAGTCATACTGTCTTTGTGAGGATTATATCAGCACTACACAACACACAAGCACAAGACCCTAGAAACTATGGTATCCAGGCAGAGAAAAAGAAAGTACTATCACCTGAGCCTCATAAATCCCTATAAACTCTACCATGGGAATAAAAAACCCCATAAAATTAAGATCATCATTTAAATTGGCTTTGGGATACTTGAGATTCTTGACACTTATTATGAAAATGTAAGAATACTGCCTTTTAGGTTGGAGATTTAAATTTGCAGGGAGAAACAGACATAACTGCTTTGTGTGATCAGTAATTAAGGTAGGTATAATGTTTTAGAAAGTTTGTTTATTAGATTTTATTTTTTCACCTGCAGTCTTCTGTAATATCTGATTGGCTGAAAAATCTGTATTTGACTGTTCAAATGAGTGATCTAAAAATCATGCTTTTTTCCCAAATTGCATTTCACTGCTGTTCTTTCCCAACTTCCCTTTAGAAGTGACAGTTGTTTTCCTCCTTTTCAGGTAATATCAGTTCTAATTTTTAATTTTTTCCTGAAGCGAATAAAAATATGTAAAGTCCTTATGCCATCTAACTTTATAAAATTCCAAGTTCTATTGACTTTATCTTTTGCAAAATGGTCTCTTGCACCTTGTAGTGGTGATCTTCAAGTGTCCAACTGACACAGATGCTGAAGACATGGCTACGTGGCTTTGGTGCAGTGTCACATATTAACATCATCTTCTACTTGATATTCAGAAGCTGCTTCCAATTCAAAAAATTTTTCACTCTATTAGGATAGGACTATAACTGTGCTCATAAATATTCCCTGTAAAAGTAGCTAATGTTGTCACAGCTTTCAAACTGTACCAAACTGTAATGTCTTATACCACTTGGATGCTTTTTCTGGTTTTAGTCTTCATGGTGTTACCGGGAGGTGGGATTTACCTATCTTCTGTCTCCGAGTATTTGTGAGGAAATGTTGGCTCAACCTTCTGAAGTCCTTGACTTCAGCAGAGACAGGATTTCTTCCTGTGGGACAAGCTGTGGCCTAGATTGACAGCTTAAGATTGATGTCTGCTATACTTAGGTACGTCGTTACAAAGAATGGGCCGTTGGGACACTGGGCCAAAGAATCACTATTTCCCCTTGGAGAACGAGAAGTTGGGCATGTCATTGTCATGGGAGAGTAGAAGGCTTAGACAAAGTTACTAAAAAACAAAGCCTTGCCGGTGAGTCTCGAGGTACAGAAAGGACTCCCTTGCTTTCTAAACTCCTTCTCCGAGAAGGGTTTAGGTGTGGCTGAATCCTATCTTAGCCTCGGACTGTGTTAATGGTTTAAATTTAAAGGAATTATAGAGGTATTAAACCACTTTGTCCCGCAGATTTTAATGATGGCAAAAAAGATATATTTATATGAGTTATTTATTATGACAAATTAACAGGTGAACAGACGAAAGATCTTAATCAGAATTATTTACTATACAGTGTAAAAGCTAAAAAATCTACTAGTAGAGTATTATATAACAAAGTAATATAGTGCACTGTAACAAAGCAATTATATTAAAGCAATTGTATCAAAGTTAGCAAAAGAAATAATTATTAAGTAGAGATTGATGTAACTCACCATACGAGATTGCGGGCAGATCTCTCTCTTTCTCTCAACCCCTGGAGAATGACCATGAAGAGGCATCCCTGCTTCACGGGAGAAGCTCCACACTTCAAGGAAGTACGTGGAAGAATCTGCCATATGGAAGTTGGACTGGGCTTTTATAGTTATGAAGTGATGGACTGGTAGTCACAAATTTACAAGCCGGTAGGCTAGCTTATCTGTCAAGTCCTGCTTCAAAAGCAGGGTGTGTATTCAAAGTTTGGTGGACTGGGATGGTTTAAACATAATTTAACACCAAGACAACATCCTGGGACAGTAGTCAATAGCTTGATTGGATTTTAGATCTTATCAGGGTGGGCCTACCTATCCTGCCACAGTCATCTTAGCAGAGATGAACTGTTGTGTCAGTTGGTAAGGTGTGGGTTAACCCCAATGGGCAGCTAATGGTGTGGGATACCCCTTTGGTCAGTTGGAGTCAGCTGTCGCAGCTGTTATCCCCTCCCAACTTCTTGTGCAACCCCAGCCTGCCCGCTGGCAGGGCAGTGAGAGAAGCAGAGAATGCCTTGATGCTGTGAAAGCATTGCTCAACAATAACAAAAACACCCCTGAATTATCAACGCTGTTTCCAGCACAAATCCAAAACACAGCACTATATGGACTACTATGAAGAAAACTTTATTCCAGCCAAAACCAGTACAGAAAGGAAAGGAATGGTTGGTTGCTGGTAGAGGACAAAAGAAAATATTTGGACCTAGAAGGAAGATGATGTTCATGGAGAAGGACTAAGTTATTTATCTGAGATACTCTAGGAAAAGAGTAGCTGATCTTGCTAGAAGTTGTATCCCAGAGGGACTGTCTGTCTCTACTGACCTTTACATCTTACCTTTAAAAGAAACCTGAACCTTTTTCTCTGGGTTGGGTTTTTGGGGTTTTTTTTAGTATATAAAAATAAGTGTGCACGTGTGTTTGTGTGTGTAATGCGGGAAAATCAAATGCAAGTCAGATGTCTATGCAGTGTGTTACCCCTCTCTTATAGACCCCAGGTAAGTGCACAGGCCAATTACTCTTTCTGGTAAGCAGTCTGAAACCAAACTAATCAGGGACTCATGGGAAAGTAGGTGGGAACATAGAATGTATTCAGAAGGGACAACAGAATTATTAGGGTAGTGCTTGTTAATGGGAATTAAATTCTCCCTAGTCATTTGAGCAAAATAGTCTATATTATGTCTGCACAGTCCTAGAATAATTTTCCTGTTGTCTACTGTACTCTGGATTTGATCTTGTGCAGAAGAGTGGCTGCCACCTCCAAAACTTCTACCCTCCATAGGTGTTGGATTAGTCATGGTACAGGGGCAATGTGTTTCAGTGGTATTTATAAATTTAGACCATGTATATGGTATTAACTGTAGGAGTCATATCCAGATGTAAATGGAGCCTATGGCACTGACTTTCTGTTGCTCATATCAGATAGGGACCTTGCTTTGTTATTGTTTAACCACATAGTAAATACACTCATGCTAAGAAATATGGAATAAGGTTTTTTTCTTCTAGATGGAAGGAATTTTTAAAAAAAGGTGTAAAGAACCATTCCATCTAGAACTTTTAATAAAGGGCAACCAGTGGGAAACACGTAGCAAAAATGCCTTTACAAAATTTAACATGGAGAAGAAAAGTGAGCACATGGGCGGTTCTTTTATAGGTTGATCTCTAGCAGAGTAAATTTGAGAGTGAAGAAACCAAGTGAGCAGATATAGGAACTGAAATGAAGCAAAATCCCTTTTCTTTCATTATGTAATTTGGGAGGAGTCAGAAAGACATTCTGTTGATTTCTTACTTAAGATAACGCCTGCTAAGAAATTAATGTTCTGAGTATATGCTGTCTCATTTCCAGTGAAAAGAATGAAACGAGATCATAGAATCATAGAATGACCTGGGTTGGAAGGGACCTTAAAGATCGTCTCATTCTAACCCTCCTGCTATGGGCAGGGACACCTTCCACTATCCCAGGTTGCTCCAAGCCCTGGCTAACCTGGCCTTGGACACTTCCAGGGATGGGGCAGCCACAGCTTCTCTGGGCAACCTGTGCCAGGGCCTCACCACCCTCACAGGGAAGAATTTTTTCCTAATATCTCATCTAAACCTACTCTCTGTCAGTTTGAAGCCATCCCCCCTTGTCCTGTCACTCCAGGCCCTTGTAAATAGTCTCTCTCCATCTTTCTTGTCAGTTCCCTTCAGGTACTGGAAGGCCGCAATTAGGTCACCCCAAAGCCTTCTCTTCTCCAGGCCAAACAATCCCAATTTTCTCAGCCTTTCCTCATAGGTTGGGCTTGGTGATGTATGTGCCCAGTCTGGTTCATTCTGGCACTGATTACTTCTATGAGAAGAATAAGCAGTCCTTCAATGGATAACTTGATCTTCAGTGGAGATGTGTTGGCATCATTCTCAGTATCATTCCTGAAAAAGTAAAATAATACAAGGACAACAAGCCTGACCCACTGGGTGGAGACCCCTACCTTTTTAAATCTGTAATGGTCACTATGGTAACAGTTGTAACCACACTTGAGCCTGAATGCATTTCAATGACAATTGCTAATGAAACAAGCTATAATTGTAGAAATTTAGGAGCCCCACCTAATAACATGAATTTGGCACTGTCACTTTGGTCATTCTGACTGATTATCAGTTCTGAGATATGTCACTGACTATGGTGTATATGAAAGAGAATACTAATCTCAAAAGTCAAATTAATGTAATTTGAAGTCAGCATGGACCAATTCCTTTTGGTCTATTGAACTTTTATCTGTGGTGGGAGGAGCATGTTGCCTTTCAGGTCATATAGACATTAAGTTTCTTTGCCTATGATCAAGCATAGGGTGTAAAACAACACTGTCCAATAGTACAGTGACCTAAAGAGAGTAGGACTTTATCAGACCTTCAGGAAGTAAGTATAATAGAAAGCCATTATTGACATCTCTTGGCTCAAGGATTGTTGGAATCATGTATTCACCCTTCAAAAGTGGTAGCTACCCTTGTAAGCTATTAGTTTTCTGGGCCTCATTCTGTGAGGTCAAGAAGCAACCGTTGTTTCTCAAGAGTATTGATGGTTCTGCCATCAGTCACTGCTTTCACATAAGACACTTTGGATTCTCTTATTCTAACAGCATAACCTTATTACTCAGTAGAACTGAGTGTGAGCCAATATATCTGAGTCTCCCAGCTGTATGAATAACCCTGAATTATTTTTAAATTATCAGATTACAGACATGATAATTTACTACCTGTGTGGGTGTTGCGGTTTAGGTCAGGACAGACTAAATGAATGCATTCATTTCTACTCAACAGTTGGTTTTGGGTGATGGAGTTTAGATATTTATTGCCTCTGAGAAAGAATGATCAATGCAAAGAACACTTCAGAGCTACAGCAAAGTTGTTATTTCTATTTCCCCTTTCCTTGCTGACAGGATCAGCAATTGTCAGTAGATGGAAAGAGCAGAGTGCTGACCATGCTGATTGTGCCATATGAGCTTGGTCCTAAGGCCTCCACAGTCTGGCATCCCTGAAACTGCAACCTCCACAGGACTATTTTTACATTTCTGGGATTTTGTTTTGTGTGCAAATGCATATGCTTTATTAAATTCTTACTGGCACTGTTAGGATCATAAACAAAGACTTTTTATTAGGTCAGATCTCTGCTACCATTGTATACTCTTGTTATCATAGTACATTTGGCAGATAATAAAGATGGGGGCTGAAACCCTTATCCTGCAAATACTTATTTCTGTGAATAGTCCCTGTGATTTGAGTTTTACTGCAATCAATCATGTGAGCAAACATTCAGAGGATCAACTTCTTTGCTACATGGATTGATTATCTTGAAGTTTTCAGTGAGACATTTGGAAATAATATATATGAGATTATATATGAGATGTCCTTGTTTTTTAACAACTACCACTTCATATAAGTGAGGTGCTAGTATGTGGTTGTGTTGAGGGCATTGGTTGTAGTTCATTTGTAAGAGACAATGGGTGCCGATGCACTAGATAATTCTTTCACTTCCAAATTTTTCACTCTCCAGATCTGTAGGAATAAGTGTTCAGTCATGTGGAAGTCCCGAGCTTCAGATGAAGTTTCATTTTAGAGCCTTTTGGCTTTAGCATAGTTTGTTCAAAACTTGTATTCAAGAGCATTGCACTGTGGCTGTGAAACAAAGAATAGTATGAAATTCTGCAAGTGATACTGCATAGATTTATGCATCTAATTATGTAAGTATTAAGAAACCACATAAAAATCTCACAGTTGTTTCTGCTTTTTTCTTATTATTTAGAATTTCTTTTTTTTTTTCTATTTGATTAAGGCTAAAATAACCATGGCACCAGTTTTTATGAGCCAAATACTGTTACTGGAGTGTCTAAATCTGCAGAGAAAAAGTTCATAAATAAACTTCCCAGGTGTTCTGTGAACTCTTTAAGTCTTAAAAATCCAGTGATTGGTCTTTTGTCAACTTGGTGGGAGACGGTGGTGGCAAGTGGGGTTGCTTTTCCCTCAAGTTCAGGGACATTTTCTTATACTTGAAGCTTGGGAAGTTCTAGTATACTAGAGGGTGCAAACTTGCTGAGAGTGCCCTCAATCCCTTCGTATATGTCATTGATGAAGACATTAAATAACACTGGTCCCAATACAGAACCTTGAGGGACACCACTTGTCACCGATGTCCATCAGGACTCTGTACCATTGGCCACTATGCTCTGGAGGCGACCATCCAACCAATTCCTTATCTGCTGAACAGTCCACCCATCAAATCCATCTCTCTCCAATTTGGAGAGAAGGCTGTTGGGGGAGACCGTGTCAAAGGCTTTACAGAAGTCCAGATAGATATCTGCAGCCCTTCCCTTGTTCACTGATGGAGTCACTCCATCCTAGAAGGACTCGTTTCACATGGGGATTAGCTTTCAGAAATGCTGTCCCCTCAGCTGCCAGTGACTTTGGATGTAAAGCTTGACACTTTTGCAAATGAGACCCTAAAGGATTTGTATTAATTGTTAGGGTCAGATGAATCACCTGTGCAGTTAAGATACTGTCCTTTCAGTAATATTCTCTTATTCATGAGAATTCATATTGAAGGGATGACAGTTTCTTATGAGTATCAGATGCCAAGTATACCTAGTCTCCATTTCCTAAGATTTGCACTGATTTGAAAATTACATATTGACTCAAGTGTTCTCTTTTGGTTTTGCTTTGAAGGTATTTCCACACTAAACTCTCAGTGCTGTTTTTGACGTAAAACCCCATAATCTCTTCAACTGTTCAAATACAGGGACCATTAAAACATCTCTGCAAATAGATATAACAGATGGATGATGGGATTTTTCAGCTGCAGTGAGTGTTCTGACTTTTCAGGATAGCTCTGTAGCTTGAAATCCTGGTCACTCTGGAGAACCTCAGTTCACTTTTCAGTATTAATACGAAATCTTGGTTGTTCATGTAGGTGTCTAAGTATGGGCACTGAAAGAAATGAGGCTGCTACCACACAGAGTTCGATTTCTGGATTTGTCTGCCGATCTTTCCGACGTTCCCCTTTTATTAGGGCTCCTTTGTAAACAGCACCTGGTGTTTGTCTTTTAGTTAACTGGAATTCTCAGGATCATCCTAAACCGGTGCCTTGATCCCACACATTCACACTCGTATCATGTTTGACTGTTTTCAGCAATGGGAAAAACATGCAGACTATGCAGACCATTAAGTGCTTAGAGAACACAGCACTCTATCAAAAACACCAGTCAAGGCCAAAACACTCCTTTTTGATCCTAATTGACTAAATGTAGGTGCTTCTGGCTTAACTGGTTCCCACACTAAGTTGGAAGCACTCAATTATTTTGAAAGTCCCATTCCTCACCCCAACCCCCATTTCCATAATTGATCTTTTCTCATAGTGGTGGTTACAGAGTTTTCACACCTTGCCTTTTTAGGATAGGGAGGACAATTTCAGAAATATCTACTTTTTTAAAGGGAAATCGTTTGGTGCTTCAGGATATTTTTTCCTCCCCTGAAGGGCAGCAGGAAAGATCAGAGTATAATCATAAAGGTCCCTTCTTGCCCTGATGCTCATCAACATGCAGATAATTTTGTTCTCTCCCAGAGTTCATGATGTATGCTGATGGTGGAGCTCTAGAGAAACGCTTTCCATGTGAGTTCTGTGGCCGATCATTTACAGAGGGCTCTGAGTGGGAACGACATGTGCTGAGGCATGGCATGTAAGTTGGTTTGCAGACTCCTTTGCATAACAGCCAAATGTAACAGTTGATTTTTGTGCATCTCCCCACTCATTCCTCTCTTTCCCCCCCAAAAAATGTAATGAAAGCAAACACGGGGATATGACAGATTATTCTAACAAGGGAAGAATTCTGTCTAACACAAACACTGTTGGATAGAATCATAGAATCATAGAATAGATTGGGTTGGAAAAGACCTCCAAGATCATCAAGTCCAACCCCGATCCAACTCCAATTACTATATCATGGCACTAAGGGCCACATCCAATCTCTTTTTAAAAACCTCCAGGGATGGTGAATCCACCACCTCTCTGGGTAGGCCGTTCCAATGCCTGACAACCCTCTCTGTAAAGAATTTCTTCAGTTATGAGATGTAATTACTCAATTAGATGTTTCTGTCCATCCTATTTGACCCAGGAACCCAGAAATCCAAGGTAACTGTTGTTTTTAAACCTGTACCTGAATATCTCCATATGTCCAAATACCATTCCAGTTTCAGGTCTAGATCAGACCTCAAACTGAAAGAAACTTTTATCTACAGATGGCCAAGGGTTTTCGGAATACAGATTGTTCCAGAAATTCCCTCTGTTTGGGAGTTAAAATCTGGTGTTATCAAATCCAAATGTAGCACATAAATGTTCTTTACTATGATCCTAAAGCTTAAACTTCATTTCAAGGTGAATACCAGTTCAGTTTGTTGGTTCAAAATTAACATTACTTGAATCTATTGCTGATGTTTGCTTGCCAGTAGAGCAACATGGAAATGGCAGCAAAGTATATGGAAATCTGGGTTTATTTTGTTTTTTTCTCTTCCTTGTTATTTCTCTTTAGTATGCTTGCAACTAATCTTGGAGTTTCAGTGCAAAGAATTATGTACAGAGAAGTGTTAAGGGCTTCAAGTAAAGGAAAATCTTAATAAGTGTGCTTTCTCCCCAAAAGCACATGACAAAGTTAATAGCAAAGATCTTTTCCTTTCATAAAATCGTAGAATGATTTGGGTTGGGAAGAATTTCTTCCTGTTATCTAATATAAATCTACCTTCTTTCAGTTTAAAGCCATTCCCCCTTGTCCTGTCACTCCGTGCCCTTGTAAAACGTCCCTCTCCAGCTCTCTCGGAGCCCCTTTAGGCACTGGAAGGTGCTCTAAGGTCTCCCCAGAGCCTTCTTTTCTCCAGGTGAACACCCTCAGCTCTCCCAGCCTGGCTCCAGAGCAGAGGGGCTCCAGTCCTCAGAGCATCTTTGTGGCCTCGTCTGGACTCACTCCAACAACTCCATGTCCTTCCCGTGCTGGGACCCCAGGGCTGGAGGCAGCACTGCAGGTGGGGTCTCACCTGAGTGGGGCAGAGGGGCAGAATCACCTCCCTCGACCTGCTGGTCATGCTGCTTTTGATGCAGCCCAGGACATGGTTGGCTCATAAATATCAGTTCATGCTGTGAAATAATAGGCAGCTCTGGAACATTAATTTTCCTTCTCTTGACAAAGATCTGTTCAATAGAACAAATGTCTTTGCTGAATAGAGTTTCTTCAAAGAGGATTGACTAATTGTCAGCCAGGATTACTGGCATGTGGAAGACATTTGAATGTAATATTGTAACTAGGCTGTGGAGGGATAAAGGGTAAGAGAAAGTATTATGTTTTGTCTATTTAAATAAAAGTACTTGAAATGTTGCAAGTTTCGATAAAATTTATTGGTTTGTCAACTGTTTGGGAGAAGTACTCTCCCTATTTCCTTGTATCCAAAGCATGTTTGGATTGTAAATGTTTCCATTTTCTGCTGCTTGAATTTTCAGGGCTCTGAATGAAAGTAAGCAAGGGACCAGAGAGGACAGCAAACTGAAGGAGAACACAGAAAAGACTGTTAATACACTGACAGTAGAAGAAAAGGAAAACACTGAGAAAATGGTGGTGGACTTGACCCACAACAGTGAAACTACAGCCAGTGTTGTAGTTGCTGACAAATCTCTCCAAGAGACCTCAGAGGACAAAAATGAATAGAAATTGGGTGTGATTTTAATCAACTTACTTGAGCTGTGGTGAATGGAAAGGAATGGGCAGAAGGAAGAAACAAAGCTGCTTTTAGGAATGATCTATTTTCAAAGCACTGGTACCTATGTGTGTGTATATTAAAGCTATTTAAATGTTGGAATAAGTGGTTCCATTTTATCACTACATCTTCTGGATCTAAACAATAGGAAATTACATTCACATTGGATTAATAAAACAACTCCCTGTGTCTCTACATTACACAGTGCGCTTTGCAGCGGAGACTTGTATTGTTTGCAAACAGAAGCATAATGAACATGGTTGGGAGGTGATGTAACTTTTCAACATGCAAATTTTGCTGCATTTTTTAAAATTTCAATCCGTTATGATTTTCCAGACTGAATGCAACTGCTTTAGAAAACAAAAACAAGACAGAAACTGCTTTGCTTAAAACAGCCACCTGTTTCCTAATACCTCAAAATTAACAAAGAGACATCTCTGCATTTGTTAGTACTGCCTGTTGTCATTATAATTGAAGTAGAGACACTGCTAAGCAAGGTGGTGAAAGGAGGAAGAAACAAAAGTTTTAAAGAAAGGAAAACAAATAGTGCTTAAAATCCCACTGTGGATTTAATTTCTTAAAATACTGTGATTTTTAAAAATTATTTTAGTAAATAAAAAAAAATTTAAAAAGAAAGACAGAGTCTTTAATTTCTAGATAATGCTTTGGGAATTGCCATCCTTTATTCCAGGTAAGCTGTTTGTTAGTATTCAGCTATAATTTTAGTATTTGATGGATTTCATGTGAATGATTTTGTGTTTTTGTTTGCCATATGTTTATTTCCTATCAGCCTGAAATGTTGCAAAAATGACACAATTAACTTTCTCATGTAAAATGAGTAGTGGTGTTATTGTTTTCCAGAGGGGAACAGGACAGGGAAAAGAATTCCTGTGACTATAAAACTTTTTATTTCTGTGTTTATCATTTAAAAAAGAATAAGTTGGGTTTTTTTAACTAAAGAACCAAACTAACAGCACAGCTATGCAGCTTATGAGCCAAACACACCAGTCCTCATAATTATTCTGTCAATTTTCAAATGAGCATCTATTGGTCTCACACCAGTACTTTCTTTCAAGATTGGTTTCATCATCTCTTCCCCCCCTCCTGCCCCAGTCTGTGGGGGGGTGTGTGTGTGTGTACTTTTTTTGTTTTGGCATAGTGGGAGAGAATGATGTCAGTTCTTGCAGCTTTTTGCAAGCAGAAGTGAAATAGTTACTACATTAAGTCTGGAGAGTTGATGGGAGTTGCTAATTTTCCCCCTACTCCTTAGCTTTTAGGATGAGGGGAACAGATTAGAATGAATAGAGATCTACATACCTTGTGGTTGTTCCTGCACTTTTTCTTTGGTGTAAATCCTACTCATGTCAACAGCAATTTTGACTGAATAAGGAATACAGGATCTGATACACGATATGTTCTGATTTTGAACAGAGAATTTCATTCAAAAAAGTCAGAAATAATTGACTAAAACCTAGTTATAGAAATGCATGTGTCTTTGTCTTGGTTTTTGTTTGTTTGTTTGGAGAGGGGGGATAAAGAAGCTGTTGAGGAAATGTTGTCCTAGACAGCTTCAAATGAAATTGATGGTAAAAATTGCATTCGTTGAATTAGTGCTACTTGAGAAGCATAGTGTTTTCCTTTTAAAGTTTTACCAGTTGTGGGTTTGCAGGTTTTTTTTATTTTGTTTGGGGATGGTTGCTTTTCTTGGAGGAGGGAGGGAGCATCATGTGGAAAACACACTGGAGGGGAAAGTATAAATTTTGTGCCTGCATTTGTTTCTTAATTAGACTCATTTCAAATGTCTTTAAAAAGCTTCATACCTGGATTGAGTGTTTGTAATAGTTACCAAAAATGAAAAAAAAAAAAAAAGAAACAATTGTGACATTTATCACTATATTTTTTCAAGTAACATGTAAGTATTGTAATGCATTATTCTTTTAACAAGCCTAGAAAGTGGGGTTATTTTCCTTTTCCTAAAAATGTATACCTGAGATATTGTGGACACACATTTTAATTGCATTGTTATGTTGACTGCAATGATGTAGAATTCAAAATAACTTTTTTTTCATTGTTTAATTTATACAAAGGAATTTTTCAGAGTTTGGCAGAAGGAAATAAATAGCAAAATGCTAACCTGTTGGCTTCAGCATTTGGTATTTCCTGACTTTTAAATTACTGGAGAACAGGAGGGGAATGTTGTAGTGTTGTGCTGAAAAGTTTGTGTTGGTTTTTTTTTTTAAAGGAAATTAATAGAAACTGTAAGGGTACATGGAAGGAGAGAGCATCTGCTCTATTGGGGGTATCTGGTCAAGGACCTTTTCAATGCAAAAAGGAATAATAAGACAAGAACATACAGAAACACAAACCTGACTGACATGATAAGGGGGGGCAGTGATGAGAACGAAACATGGTCAGTCACACTAAGTGATAAGCTTAATTCCCTTAGCATCAACTTATAGGGCAAGTGCTCCACCTCCCTGAATTTGCTCAGGGGACGGGAGGGGAAGAGACAAAACTGGATGCAGTCTAACAAATGCTGAGTAGAGGTGGATAATCACTTCCCTGAGTCCAGTAGGTTACGCTCCTCTTGATACAGACCAGAATACTGTTAGCCTGGGCATACTGCTGACTCATTTGTAACTTACTGTCTTCCAGGTCCTCTTCAACAGACTTGCTCCCCAGTCACTCAGTCCCCAGTCTGTATCATTGCAAGGGGCTCTTCCTTCCCAGGTGCAGGACTTAGCAGTTGTCCTTGTTAAATTTAATGAGGTTCCTGATAGGCCATTCCTCTAGTCTGTCTAGGTCTCCCTGAATGGTAGCCCTACCCTTGAGCACATCTACTGCAACCCCTGAGTTTGGTGTCATCCACAAATTTGACGAGGTGCATTCTGTCACCTCTATCAGATCACTGATAGAGGCCTTGCACAGGCCAGGTCCTAGGATAGACTCCTGCAAGTATTCCACCTATAACTGACCTCCACATAGAGTATGACCCATTGAACAATACCCTTTGAGCCTGATCATCCACTCAATTTTTCATCCATTTAGTAGTCCATTCATCTAGACCATAACATCCCAACATGGATACAAGGATGCTATGGGAGACAATATCAAAAGCCTTCCTAAAGTCAAGGTATACAACATCCATTGCTCTCTCCTCATGCAGAGATCTATACTTTCCACAATGAAATTACATTGGGTTGGTGTTCACCTGTTTGTTAATTTGCCATAATAAATAATTCATTTTATACGAATTTTATCTTTTCCTTCTCCATACTTCCTCAAGTAGAGCCTCTTAATTTCAGATTTGTACTCACCATTGTGGAAGCCACCACTGGATGGCTGGAGGCGCATCCGGTGCCCCACGCCACTGCCCGAGATACCATCCTGGGTCTTGAAAAGCAAGTCCTGTGGCGACATGGCACCCCAGAGCGCATTGAGTCAGATAATGGGACCCATTTCAAGAACAGTTTAATTACCACCTGGGCAAAGGAGCATGGCATTGAGTGGGTGTGTCACATCCCATACCATGCAGCAGCTGTGGGGAAGGTTGAACAGTGTAATGGACTGTTGAAAATCACCCTGAAGGCATTGGGTGGAGGGACCTTCAAGCACTGGGATCAGCACCTAGCAAAGGCTACATGGTTAGTCAACAGTAGAGGCTCCATCAACTGAACTGGCCCTGCCCAATCAGAGTCCCTCCACACCGTAGATGGAGACAAAGTCCCAGTGATTCATGTGAGGGACATGTTAGGTAAAACAGTTTGGATTAACTCTGCCTCAAGCAAAGGCAAACCCATTCTTGGGATTGTTTTTGCCCAAGGTGGGTGATGCAGGAAGATGGAGAAACCTGGTGCATACCTCAAGGGGATCTTATCTTTGGATTTACTGGCCATAACTCTGTATCTGTATCTATACTTGTATATACATATTCTTGAATGTGTATATAGGTAGAATAATGCATGTACGTATGTAGTTCAAAGGTTTAATTTGATAGAGTGTGGTGGCATGGGAAAGGAAAAAAAAGAGTTAGAGGTGGATAACGTCATAGGTTTACTTGTTCTAAAAAAATCAAGGGGAAATTCTTTTTTTTTTCTTTTTCTTTCCCCTGCATCATTGTGAAAGAAAGATGTTGAACGCGGGAGAGTGGTTTGCCTTGGGTGATTGACCCACACAAAAGAACTAACCAGCAGATCCACATTCCAAGGTGATGGCCTGTCGAGGGGTATCTTTCCTATTGGTCAGGTTTGGTCATTAGAGAAAGTAGACACACACACACACAGAGAGATGAGACAAGGGAGTCTGCCACCTAAGCGCAGCAGGCAACTTTATTGAGGTAGCTAACCCCGACTTTCCCACACACTTACTGTAAATATATTTTTTACAAAAACACTCAGGAATTAACACGTGCACTCTGAAACACAGTTAACAGACCTGTCCTTGCACTGCTTATAATTTTCCAGCCAACTCCCTGATACTCAAGGTTGCTGTGTCCATGGGAACGATTAATAAGCCTCACTGTTCTCATGGGAAAGGCTTTATACCATCTAATATGTTATACTCATCCAGGGGTTCAACCTCCAGGGGCTCACTGGACCTGCCGCTTATGCCCACAATGGCCCTCTGAAGACTGTGGAGAGGGGTGATGAGTTCGGGTTTTTTCTCTCCTCGGAAATGGGAGGAACTTCACTTTTGCCCTAACTCAGGGAAGGTGTGTGTTGGAGGGGTCTGAGGTTCACTTTGTTTTCAGCCTGGTCACCTGGCTGCTTCTGGCCCCAGTTTGCTTCTGCTTTCCTGTGCCCTGTTCTGCCCCCAGGCCAGACCTGCTCGGATTTCATCGGAGAGGTGATGCCTAAAAGAAAATTCAGGGAGAAAAAACTCTGAGGCAAATTAGTTTTGAAGGTGAGATAAGAAAAGGGGTTTAATTTGTGCCTAGGCATAAGATTACAAG